CCGCCGCAGCAGCGTGCGCGACAGCAGGAACGTGGCCCCGGCCGACAGGGCCACGGACAGCACCGGCGGAGGGGGCGCCGCTGTCGGCGGCGCCGTCGCCACCGCCGCCAACGCTACAGCTCCTCTCGCTGCCAGCAAGACGAGGGCTCGTGTCCGTCTTCTTCGGCCTCCCGGGGGCCCTCCGCGGGCCCCCGGGGCCGCTCGGGATGAAGTGTCGGCCCCTCCCTCCCCCCCGCCAGGTTCGAGCCCCTTCCTCTTGCATTTCGAGGGGGGGGGGGGGGGGGGGCGGTTCGAACCCCCCCACCTTGCATCTCAGGTGACCCCCACCCTTCTCTTGCATTTCAGGGGGAGGGGAGGGGAGGGGCTGGCTTGAACCCCCCCCCCCAGCGTCCAGACGTGGAGATCTGGGCACCGCCGCCGTCGTCGCCGCCGCCGTCGTTGTCGTCGTCTCCTCCTCCTCCTCCCCTCCTCCTCCTCCTCCTCCTCCTCCTCCTCTTCTTCCTCCTCCTCCTCCGATTTCGCCCCCGCGCCAAAGAGGGGAGCAGGAAGGAGGGCAAACGACGGCAAGAGGGGCCGCACCAGGAAAAGGAAGAAGAGGATGAAAGGGAGGAAGGTCAAGAGGAGGAGAAGGAGGAAGGGCAGGAGGAGGCGGGGGAAGAGAAAAAGGAAGAGGAGGAGGAGGAGAAGGAGAAGGAGGAGGAGAGGGATCACCAGGACCACGAAGCCCAGTGAGGCCCCGAACAGGAACCCGGAGCACAGCATCAGCGGCGTCACCGGCAACAGCAGCAGGGCGCTGAGGGAGAACGCGGCGCAGAAGTAGGCCACGCCAAGCGGGCCCACCTTTCCCCGACAGCATCCGCCTCTCCCTCCTCCGCATCCTTCTCAACCGCGTCCTCGACCTCCTCCTCCTCCTCCTCTGCCTCCTCCCCTCCTCCTCCTCCTCCTCCTCCTCCTCTCCCTTCCTCCTCCTCCCGCCTCCTCCTTTCCTCCTCCTCCTCCCCCCTTCCTCCTCCCCCTCCTCCTCTCCTCCTCCTTTCTCTCCTCTCCTCCTCCTCCTCCCCCTCCCGTCTCTTCATCATCATCATTCATCATCATCATCATCATCATCATCATCATCATCATCATCATCATTCATCATCATCATTCTATCATCTTCACCATCATCATCATCATCATCATCATCATCATCTTCATCTTCAGCATAGAGGTCCACGCGGTCATAGTCATCGGTCATCGGTCCATCGTCAATCGTCATCATCATCATCATCATCATCATCAGCAGCATCAGCATCAGCCATCATCAGCATCAGCATCAGCATCAGATCAGGCATCTGCAATCAGCATCATATCATCGTATTCCTCATCCTCTTCCTCATCCTCATCATTCATCTTCATCATCTTCATCATCATCTGCATCATCATCATCATCATATCATCATCATCAATCTATCATCATCATCCATCCCTTCTCCCAACCTTCCTCCCTCCTATGCCTTATCATCTTGTCGGCTTTCGCCCGTCGTCCCTCCTCCTCCTCCTCCTCCTCCTCCTCCTCCTCCTCCTCCTCCTCCTCCTCCACAATTACTCAATATGAATACTACTCTCCCTCTTCCCCTGATGGCGTGCTGGGAGTGGCCGACCCCCCCCCGCGTACTGTTTTTTTACACACAGGATTCCCGGGAGTTGGGTTTTCGCCTGCGTTTTTTTCAAAATGCTGCTCTCGCTGAGGCGCCGGCCTCATTTCTGCTCCCGGATCGTTCCGAATCGTGCTCCCGCTGCAGCGTGGGCCTCATTTTCGGATCGGTGTTTGGCCTCCGTCGTTCAGGATGGCGTTCTCGCCCCAGCGCGGGCCTCTTTCTCGCGCGCCCATCCGCCCGCCACCACCGCGCCGCACCACCACCACCACCACCACAACCACCACCAGCACCACCACCACCACCACCAGCACCACCACCACCACCACCACCACCACCACCACCACCACCACCACCACCACCACCACCACCACCACCACAACCACGCACACGCGCACGCACGCACGCACGCGCACCACCACCCACTACGCACGCGCGCGCGGAGCCACAGGTCCGCTACGACACGCGTCCGCGGATAGAGAAAATCAGCGCCATGGTAAGGGATGGGAGGGAGGGGTAGGACGTCAGATATGACGCGAGCGCACCTAGCTTGTCCCCTCCCCCTCCCCCTCTCCTCCTCTCCTCCTCCTCCTCCTCTCCTCCTCCTTCTCCTCCTCCTCCGCCTCCGCCTCCGCCTCCGCCTCCTCCTCCACCACCACCCCCCCCCACCTCCTCCTCCTCCTCCTCCTCCTCATCCTCCTCCTTCTCCTCCTCCTCCTCCTCATTCTCCTCCTCCTCCGCCTCGTCCTCTTCCCTCTCCTCGCGCCCTCCCCCTCCTCGGAACTACTTGTAGGTACCAGAGGAGCCTCGCCGACGGCGTCGGGCAACTGGTCCATGAGCCCTGGAAGGATTGTGAAACTACTTCTTGGCGTACCGAGAGGTGCGAAAAGGAGGAGGGAGGGAGAGAAAGGGAGGAGGGATAAGAAAGAGGAGAGAGCGTTGAGGTGGAGGGAGCGAGGGGGGAGGAGCAGGAGGAGGAGCCAGAGGCAGAGAAGGAGGAGGCGACGGTAAAGGAGCAGGAGACGCTTTAGGAGAAGGGGAAGGAGGAGGGAAGAGGCAACGAAGCGGAGCAGGAGCCTAAGGAGGGCGAGGAGAGGAGAAGGCGGAGGACAGAGGAGGCAGCCAAGGACGACGAAAGCAGGGGAGCGGAGGGAGGAGGGGGTGTACCAAACTCTCCCGCACCCAAGTCCGTGCCCCCGCGCGCCGGCGCGGGCATCAGCCCTCCAGAGCGGCGGAAGTGCCCGCTGGAGAGGCGATGCCCCCGTGGCCCCCGACGGTGAGCCCCTGCACGTTTTTTGTTTCTACATGCAGGCCAGCGACCACGCCGAGATCCGGTCACGTGGCATGTTAGAACGATAGTCGCTGTCTCTCTTTCTCTCTTTCACTCTCCTTTTGTATATGTGTTTGTTGTTTCTCTCTCTCTCTCTCTCTCGCACACACTCATGTTTCGAGGTCGCACGCAGCGGGGGCAGCAAGCCGCTTGGGCGAAAAAAACAAACACACAAACACACACACACACACACTCACACGCACACGCACACGTACACACACACACACACACACACGCGCACGCACGCACACACACACACACACACACACACACACACACACACACACACACACACACACACACACACACACACACACACACACACGCGCACACACACACACACACACACACGCACAACAGACACACACACACACACACACACACGCGCACAACACACACACAGGCACACACACACGCACAACACACACACACACGCACAACACACACAGGCACACACACACACACACACGCACGCGCGCGCGGACAATAATGAAAGACTGGCATGGCAGGGAACAGTCATCCGTCCATCCAACCATGATGCGAATCATAACGGTAACAATCGCAGAGACAAAGAAACACTGCAGCAACCAACCACGTGCGTGGTGCAGAAGAGCGAGCACGATGTCGCAAGGGAACCGCCCTCCACCCATGTGGTCAGCTGTTGAAGTCTCAAGCTCTGGGATTTCTACGATGTCAGAAGTGTCATGCGAGAGCTCGACCTGGAAAAGCAGCCCTCCTCCGTCCCTGGGGGGTGCTGGAAATCAGGCCATCAGATCCCGAAAAGACAGGAGGCGACAAAATGGGCCACCCTCCAGCAGTGGAAGAACAGCTTGACAGTGGGCCACCCTCAAGCACACGCCAAGCTGCAAGACCACAAGGTGCCAAGATGTCCTGGACGAGGCCGCGACTTTAAAAAAAGGCCACCCAGAGATGAGGAGGGATGAGGAGGGGAGAGGGGAGGAGAAGGAGGAGGACGTCGACGACGACGACGAAGAGGTGAAGGGGAAGGGGGGGCGGCCATGGGAAGGGAGAAAGCAGAAGAGAACAAGGGCCAGGGAGGCGACAAGAAGCGGGGAGGAGGGAGGAGGAGGAAGAGAAGAAGGAGGAGGAGGAGGAGGAGGAGGAGGAGAGGAAAGCGAGGGTGGGAGGGAAGGGAGGAGGAGCAATGAGGTAGGACGAAGGGAAGGAATGAGGAGCAGCAGCAGCAGGAGGACGTGGATCGCCAGCAGCAGCCGCTGCGGTAGGGGGGACGAGGGACGATGAAGGAGGAGAAGGAGGAGGGGGTGGAGGACAAGGAGGGGGTGGAGGACAAGGAGGAGGAGGAGGAGGAGGACAAGGAGGAGGAGGAGCTCCCTGCCTCTCTTCGCCCCGCTCCCTCCCTCAGCGCACCTCCTCCCCTCCTCCTCCCCTCCTCCTCCCTTCCCCCTGAGAGGGAGGGAGGGAGGAGGGCGTGGGAGCCTGGGAAGAGCACGAACACCTCCGGCACCGACCGCAGCGCAGTCCGCCGTCGCGGCGCCTGGCGCCGCGAGGGGCGCGGGCAGGGAGCGGTACCACTTTGGGGCAGGAAGGGGTAAGCCGGGAGGAGGAGGAGGAGGAGGAGGAGGCCGACAATGGACATAAACTGTCGGAGGTTCACGCTGATTTCTTGAATTGGCGCTGGGTCCCACTCGGGGATGGACAGACCCCCCTTTAGCAAAACGTGATTTAGTGAAAACGACCTGAGGCCCAAACCTGGCGGGCGCAAGCCTGGAAAATAACGGCCACGGCGCCCTCTCGAGAACCGAAAGCGGACAATTCACTAATCGACGTGTCACTGTTGGTGGTTCTGTCCACCCCCGACCCACTGGCGGCGCATCCTGCGACGCCCCTGGCGCGCTCTCCGCGCGCCGGGGAGGGGGGCCTGCGCCGATCCAACAAATCTGCGCGGACCTCCGAGGAAAACGGGGCAGAGCAGGAGCAGGAGCAGCAGAAGGCATGGAGAGCAGCGGCAGGAGTAATGGGAGAGGAGGGGGGAGTACGGCTAGGATTGAAGGCTCGAACTCCTCCTCCTCCTCCTCCTCCTCCTCCCTCCTCCTCCTCCTCCTCCTCCTCCTCCTCCTCCTCCATCCCTTTCCCTGAGAAAAAAACTTGTCTTGTCGCCCCCCCCCAGACGAGTCGGTTGGGCGAGCTGGGCATTTCGCCTGAAAAGAACTCCTGAATCATAAAATGTGGAACAACTTCCAGGGAGGATGGCGGGCTGTTTTCAAGTCGTGGCTCTTGCCGTAGCGCCGCACACATTCGCCTGAAAGGTCTGCAGCGGCTTCAAGGATGGAGGGCGGGCCGTTTTCAAAAGAAGGGTCTCGCCTTATCGTTGCGCGCATTATTTTTCAAGGTTTGCAGCAGCTTCAATGATGGAGGGCGGGCCGTTTCCAAAATGTGGCTCCGGCCGTAGCGCCGCGCACATTCAGCGACAGCTTCAAAGATGGAGGGCGGGCCGTTTTCAAATGTGGCGCTCGCCGTAGCGCCACGCACATTCGTCTAACATGCTTGCAGCAGTTTCAAAGATTTGTGCGACTGAAGTCTCAGGAAGTGTGTTCTGGCCCGTTTTAGGACTGCCAGGGCACGAAAGTCACGTAGATGTGCTCTTCAAGGTCCAGGAAGGGCGTTCTGCTTCGACTTAGAAGATCCCGATGCAAATGTCACGTCGATTCCCTGCGTCGAAGCCCAGGAACGGTGTTTTGGCACGAGTGTGGATCCTAAGACGGTTGTCTTCCAATTTCGGCGCTACCCGCAGTGAAACAAATAAAGTCTTGCAGTGACCGATGACGAGGCGGCTTGGAGGAAGGGCTTATCGCAACATCGTTGACGCATCTTGTTTTACACTGGTCCTTTTCCCCCTCCTCGTCTCCGTCATCTCGCCTCCCAAATGCCTCGTCACTGTTACGCATCCACCTTCCCAACACCCCCCCCCTCTTCCCCCTACTCCTCCTCCTCCCCCTCAGTTCGCCCCCTCCCCTATCCCTCCTCTCCCGCCTCTCCTCTCGTTCCAAGGGACCTGAAATGGACCCTGGCGCGAGACACCTCTCTACGGCATATCTTTGATCTGGACAGTCCACGCGATGACTGGACTCTCCCGACGGCTCCTGCCATGGATTGCATGCTACATGCCACTGCACAAGCACGGTCATACTTCTACACGCTGGTTCCTATGCCAGCGAGGAGCCTGACGCCCATCGTCCGCTCTGCTCCTCGACAGCCTCAGGGGCTGTTGCTGTTGCTTTGAGTGGAGCAAGGGCAAGGGTCGAGGGACAAAGGTGATGCTGCGGTCAAGGCCACCGCCACAGTACCTACTCACTTTCAAAAAAATAACCCACTCGGTGCTGTGCTGATCGGTACAGGGCGTCGCTAGGTGAAAGTACCTGCACCTGCCTAAAAGAAGGCTACTCTTGACCGCCACCCCGATACATACACCATTGAACCCCACTACTACGCCTTAGATGATAAGCCAGGACCCTCAATGTGATCAGTGTGCGCGTTTCACGCGGCAGCAGCCATCCACCTCTTGGATTTGCTGCTGCCTGCTCTTACCGGGTTTGCAGGATTTGCTATCATATGTTCTTCCCGAGCTTCGAACTTCCTGCGCGTCACTGACCGACCGAGGAGGAGGGGGAGCAGAAGGAAGAGGAGGTGGGCAAGAGCATGTTCTGTCAGGCATTGTTGGTCATATTGATTCGCGGCGTAAGAAGTCAGCAGCAGAACGGACGGGCTCCGAGGGGCAAACAGTCCAGACGCATCAAGGGAAAGGGAAAGGGTGGCTAGGCGTGAGAGCGAGAGGAGGACGAGAGGGGAGTGCCAGTGAGAGCAGGTCTGGTCGCGAGGGGCGCGGGCGTGCCTCAGACAGAAGCAGGGGAAAGGGGTAGCTTTCATCGTGTGTCACCGCCACCGTCGTTTGGCTACCCCACGGCGAGCACCAGCTCGCCAACGCGGCCGCCCCTGCAGGTGGGGCCCCGTCGCCTTTTCTGTTCTCGTCATTTGCGCTGCCTGCAGCTGCCGCCGCACGAGTGCCGTCGAGGGTAGAGGAGCTCTTGGAGGCAACCCAGAGTCAATGAGGCACAACTTCTTAATCAGATGAGGGCTTGAATGAGACGGGCAAGCAGGAAGAGGAGGCGCATCCCCCCCTGAGCGCACCCCCCTGCCCGTGGCCCTGCCCCCCCCCCTCCCCTCCAGGCACGAGGCCCCCAGGGCGGGCCGCCGAAGGGCGCCCGCAGGCCCCCGCGCACGGGGCTCCCCCCTGCCCCCTCCCAGAACGCGAGCACGCGGCCGACAGGCAGATCGAGCAGCAGGGATCAGACATCGGGCCGCCCCCTCCTCTGTGGACGACGCCGACAGAGATCAGTCAGCCAATCGACCAACGGAGGATCGACGACGAGGGCTCTGTCAGCACGGCGCGGCGCGATCGATCCGCAGATCGATCCGCGGATCCACCCCGCCCGGAGGCCCCCCCAAAGGGCGGGCGCGCGCCCGCAGGCCGCCGCGGACGCCGCCCGCGCGGGCGCCGCGCCGCGCCGCCGCGGCCGCCGCAGCAAGCCCGTCCTGCGGCGGGCAGCGGCGCGGCGGGCAGCGCCAGGGCGGCGCCGCAGGCGCGGGCAGCGTCAGGGCGGCGCCGCCGCGGCGGGAGAGGAGCCGCGCCAGCGCGGCGGCCGCACCTGCGCATGCGCAGGTGCGGCCGCGAGCGCGGCGCCGCTGGGGCGCTGGCGCGGGGGACAGCAGCAGCCGCCGCGCGCGGGGGGGGGAGGAGCAGGGGGAGGGGGAGGAGGGGGAGGAGGAAGACCAGTGTAAACCCAAGAATCATCAGCCATGTTGTAATAATAAGCCCTCACTGAAAGAACTGCCCCGTCGAGAGACAGCCGTATGAAGATTCTGAGGCATGCCAAAATTTTACTCTGAGGATTCCAGCGCCACGGATCAACCTGACTGTTGCGTCTTGACGAGCCTGAATCGCCCCAGAACGCCGTTCCTGGGACTTCAACACCGCGAACAAACGTAACAGTTGCACCCACATCATTCTGAATCAGTTCAGAACACCATTTCTGGTACGTTGGTCATGGGAATCCGTAAAACTCTTGTAAATGTAATAAACGAGTGTGCGCGGCGCTAAGCGAGGGCCACATTTTGAAAACCACCCGCCCTCAATCCGGGAAGCTCTTGCAAATTGTAAAACGAATGCACGCGGCGCTGAGGCGAGAGCCACATGTTGAAAACCACCCGCCCTCAGTCCGGGAAACTCTTGCACATCTTGAAAAACGAATGCGCGCGGCGCTAAGACGAGAGGACACGTTCAAAAAGAAGCGCCTTCGATCCGAGAAACTTTTGCAATAAGGCGAGAGCCACATTTCGAAAACCGACCGCGAAACTCATGCAATATGTTAAACGAATGTGCGCGGCGCAAAAGCGAGAGCCACAGTTTGAACGCCCACCCGCCCACCATCTGTGAAACTGTTGCCGAAAATTAAGCTTCAGGGTCGTAAATGGTGAGAAAGTTTCAGGCGAAACGCCCAGTCCGTCCCAAAAACGGGCGTTGGGGTGCGACAGGGAGTACTTAGTTAAAAGGAGAAGGAATGGAGGAGGGGGAGGAAAACGAGGGGGAGGAGGAGGGGGAGGAGGAGGAGGAGGAGGAGGAGGAGGAAGAAGAGGAAGAGGAAGAGGAGAAGGAGGAGGAGGAGGAGGAGGGGGAGGGGGAGGAGGAGGAGGAAGAGGAGGAAGAGGAGGAAGAGGAGGAGAAAAAGGAGGAAAAAAAAGAAGGAGGAGGAGGAGGAGGAGGAGGGGGATGGGGAGGAGGAGAAGGAGGAGGAGAAAAAAAGAGGAAAAAACAGGAGGAGGAGGAGGAGGAGGAAGGGGAGGAAAACGAGGGGGAGGAAGAGGAGCAGGAGGAGGAAGAGGAGGAGGAAAAGGAGCCCGACATGGCGGCGCGACGGCGCGAGGCCTGCAACCGGAACGGGCTGGCGAGCCCAGACACCGCCGGCGCGGGCGCGGAGGATAGGCAGCGGCCAGCCCGTGGCGGCGAGCAGGAGAGGACGGGGTCAGGGGGCAGGATGCCTCACGGTGCGGGCAGTGGGCAAGGAACCATTGTACACTTGGGGCGTTGACCTCAGCAACCCAAGAATAAGGAACGAGGCCCCTTTTCCCCCAGATGATAAACTTCGATTTCCCATGGAGGACCCAAGACAAACTGTAAAACAAGCAAGGAGCACCGAGCACCTCGCCAACGAGAAGGTTTCCTTCCTCAGCGCCCCGACTGTATGAGGAGTCCAAGGCCTGGAAGCCGGTGGGACACCAACTGCGGCTTGGCCAAGGACATCACCGCCGGCCTCGTCAAATACGGAAGCCTCCAGGGTGTGAGGCCTCCTGAGCACATTCCTTCACGAACGTCCCCACCGTACATGATGTCAGCTTGTGATTAACGAATCCGTGGGGGGGGCGCGTGTGATGAAAAACAATTCCCCCGCTCGGGCGAAACGCGGGGGGGCGCCCGCCAGGTTGAAAATCAACGGGGCGGCGCCGGCGATCAGCGCCGACGCCCGGCCGGCAACGAGGGGCAGGGGGAGGTCTTGGAGGCAAGTGCGAAACAGGGGGGCCCTCTTTCTGTCGAACCGATGCGGGCGTGCGGGCAAGGCGGGCTGGACGAAAGTGGGGCGCAGCAAAGGGGGGATTTGCCAAGCAGCTCACATCGCCGATTTTTCAAACGCCTCCTGGCGCCGAAAGGGGCCATGCGTCGAGGACTGGCCCTTTGGCGGGGCGGCCGAAACCAGCTGCGCGCAGCAGGCTTCGCAACCCCCCCTGTCCTTCCCAAGACTTTCGTTCGACCCGAGCAAGGCGAGTAGTCCGCCTGCCCCCCTCTGTCGCTGTCGTCGCCGCCGTCCCACGCCCTGTCTGCGCCCTGCGTCCTCCTCCCCCTTCTCCTCCTCCTCCTCCTCCTCCTCCTCCTCCTCCTCCCTCCTCCTCCTCCTCCTCCTCCTCCTCCTTTTTTCTCCTCCCTCCTTTTTCTCCTCCCCCTCCCCCTCCTCCCCCTCCCCCTCCTCCTCCTCCTCCTCCTTATCCTCCTCCTCCTCCTCTTCCTCCTCCTCCTCAGCCCCGGGGGGGGTCTGGCCATTTGTTAATCACACAAGCTGGCATTACCCCCATTTGGGTCAACGGTGGGATCGGGGGGGCGACTGCCCCAGGGGCGGGAACATCGAGCTGGAATCGGCGATGCGTTGCCGATCGGTGGGCGATATGCCTCCGTAGGGAGTCCGTGCGTTCGGGCCCCCGGGGGGTCCGCAGGGAGTCCGCACGCTGGAATCAGGCGAGTGGGCTATCGGCACCCCATCGGCGATGAATGGGCGATGCCGATGCGTCCCCCCCCCTGACCCTACAGTCGGGGCGTTAACCTAAGGAACGCTAAATAAGGAACGAGGCCCCTTTTTTCCATAGGTTAACCTTCGATTTCCTGTCGAAAACATAAGGGAAGCCTGAGGCAAGCTGTGAAACACTTAAGGAACGCGGAGCCCCTCCCCAACCAAAAGGGTTCCTTCTTCAGGGCCCCGACCCTATGCACCCCTGGCGTTGCTCGCCCTTGAGCCCCCCCCCCCGCCCGAAAACAAAGGGGGCGCCAACCTCTCAGTGGGCGCGAGCGCTCCTGCTCACCGGGGAGGATCGCGCCCGCGGGGCGCCCTGCTCCTGCTGCACACGGGGCGGCCGCACGCACGAGGTGGCCACCAGGCAAGAGCGGCCTTTGGCGCGCGGCCCGACAACCGGCGCGCGCGAAGCGACAGCACGGCAGCCTGCGCGCCGGGGTCCGCCTCCACCCCGCGCAGCCCGGGAAGCCGCGCACCACACAGGTCACGGGACGCACAGGGACACACCAGCACTATCCTCCTCGGAGGGGCGCGTCCGACCCGAACATATAGCATACCGATCTTGCAGTGCATAGTTTTAGTTTCCCGGGCGGTGTGGCCACAAAGCGCCCGCCGCGACGCACATACTAGTCGATCTCTCGGTGCACGCGTCGCCCCGGGGAGGCGACGCACACATAGTATTGGTATGTTGGAGTCACGTCGAGGTCACGCCAACGAAAGGACACTGGGCCTTCGGGTCATGACACGGTCCCCCGGCGGCTGCTCGGGACTGCTCGGGCACACCCGGAGCGCTCTCTGGCGACGCGCAGCTGCGGCAGGAGAAAACCTAGAACTCCGAACTCCGACGCTATGTTTTTGTCACTACGGGGGCCCCTGGAGAACTGGACCCCTTCCCTGGGACCGGCTCTTCATCACGGACCGTTTCTTGACGGTCCTTGGAGCCCAGCGAGGGCCCCAAGAGGCGCAGCTAGCTAGCGCGCGCACGCTCGCACGCGCAGCTGCCAGCTAGTCTGGCGCGACCGACGCGGCCGCGGTGGCGGTGACCGCTGGGCGCATCCCAGCGGGCACCTCATTGCGAGTCGGCGACTTGGGCGGGCGCGGTATCATGGCAACGTCGACAGCGGTAGGAGCGATGATCCACGCAGACGACGATGACGGCGTCCTCGCGTCGTTGATGAAGGTCGTGGAGGGAACTGACATGCGAGCGCGGCCGTCGCGCGAGCATGGCCCGCATAGTATTATCTGACACGGGCCGCCCCCCCCCCCAGCACGCGCACAAGGGCGCTCGACTGATTTCGACGCGCGGCGCGAGGGGCACGTTCGGGCGAAATGAATGGACGCGTTGCAAACCTATGATGTCCCAAAGAACTCGCAGGAGCGCGAGCGCAGGCATTTTGGAAAACTGATGTTTTGCGGACAAACTGTGTGTTGCATGTCTTCTGGACACCCAATTTGAATCCCGTGCGGAACCTGAGTGAATGAAAGATCCCGGCACGCGCGCGCGACGACGCGCGCGCGTTGCAAGGGAATCTTGCGACAGCACGCGCGCAAGGGCGTCAGAGCCATTCCTACATGCGCACGCGAGAGGCCCGTCTGGAAGCAAGCTGAAAACAGGTAGGACAAACTATGGTTTGATTAACGGTCGCAAGAGCCCGAGCGCGGGCACTTGTGGGGGAAATTCGTGTAAGCCTAAGATGCTCGAAGGATTTCGGCATGCACGCGCGACAACACGCGTGTGTGCGTTTCGTCCCGATGTTTTTGCAGGGGATTCTTGCGACAGCACGCGCGCTACGGCGTTCGAGCGAGTCAAACACTCTCGCACGAGAGGCCCGTTTGGCAGCATTTCTAGAACTCTGGAAACCATAACCTGTGGTTTACTTAAGAACGCGCTTGTGCCCGAGCGCAAGCATGTTTTGGAAATTCGTGTTGCGACACCATGTGTGCCATGCGTTCGAGACATTCGATTTGACATCCTTGTGAAATCGTCTGTTTTTTTGGAGTCGGCATGCGCGCGCAACGGCGCGCGCTTGAGAACTTCGTCCCATAGTTTGCAAGAGCCCGTTTGGAAACTGATGCGTTTTGATCCACGGGTGCGCGCGCAGCATTGTATTTTATCCGGTCGGATACCAGCCTGCCTGGGATGGTTCGAACTCGCATTTAGGA